GTGATGGACTGTCTCCGACATGTGATGGACTGTCTCTGACATGTGAGGGACTGTCTCTGACATGTGAGGGACTGTCTCTGACATGTGATGGACTGTCTCCGACATGTGAGGGACTGTCCGACATGTGAGGGACTGTCCGACATGTGAGGGACTGTCCGACATGTGATGGACTGTCTCTGACCTGGTCCTGGGACACCATGGTGGTGCTGCAGTCCAGCGTGTTGCTCAGCACGTAGCAGCTCATGCTCTTCCGGGACTCAAAGTCAAAGTATTCAAAGAGAGGAGGGAAGTGTTTGAGCTGCAGGACCATCAGCAGGTTGTTGTAGGTGTCCACAGGGATCTTCAGGAGCCGGGTCAGTTCTTTGGACACAGCGCTGCTGGTGGCGATGCTGGGAGACAGAGACAGAGACTCAGTGATGGAACATTCTAAGTGTTTGATAAAGATGGATGAGGTTTTGACGCACTGCTCCAGATTGAGTTTATTAAATATCTCCACTGTGCTCTCCAGGACTTTGTCCACATAGTCCACCCGTTCAGGGTAACACTTCATGGCCAAGTTAATGAGAGACACCTGGAGAGAAACCACGTCCTCTGACGGCATGTCCTGACGGGACTGAGGGAGCAGAGAGGACACCATCAGAAAAGTGAGGACATTTGTTCAGAGGACGTCAGAACTAAGTGAGACCACCTGTTTTACCTGAATGACTGTGGCCACCTGCTGGGAGAAGATGTCAAACAGTTTGATCTCAGCAGGAATACCTGGTCCATCTTCTCGATGAGCGAACAGAGCGAGTCTGAAACACAAACATTACATCTAAGACCAGGCTAACCTAACCCTAACTCTAACCAGGACCTGCTCAGGTCTCCTCGGGTCTCTGGTCTACAGTAGACCTACCTGTCAATCAGAGCGATGATGATGTTCTTCACATTGACGTGTTGATGCAGCTCTGCACACGAACGCAGGAAAGGATTCAGGGTTTGGAGGTGGAACTCATCTGGAAACACCTGAACACAAGTCCATTAAAGACCCAGAGGGTCTGTGAGGGTCTGACAGAGTCTGAGAGAGTCTGACAGTGTCTGTGAGGGTCAACTCAGGGGTCAGATACCTGAATGATGCACTCCATGAGATACTCCTGAGCCAGAGAGTCTCTGCAGTTCACCACCTGCTCCAAGACTCCAGGGAGAACCACCTGTGGAGATCAGGACACACCTGGTGGTAAGTCAGGACTTTAACACCAAACTAAACCTGTTCTTCATGTTCCTGTCTGCAGATAAGCTGCTGCAGCAGAAAGCCTTAAAGGTTTTGTTTTTCACAGACTCAGATGTGTGCTACAGGAAGTGAAGCAAAGCTAACAGCTCCTCTGACAGCAGGTAGGAACCAGAACACACCTGTTTGTACTTGTCCACATTGACTCCCTCCAGCTGGCTCAGACGGACCAGATTGGTTCCCACCAGGATCCGAAGTTCCTGCCGTTCTTTCTCCCGCTTCTCTCGGTCCCTGCTGTGACCCTGATGCTGCATTCGGACCCATAATTTATTCATTTCAGCAAAGTTCAGCAGGACAAAGTCAATGGAGTCATTGATGTCCCCGGTCATCTCCTCGGACCCCCTGAGGGGACAACAAACATGCTGAACTGCTGTCACTGTTCAGCTGCAGAACTCAACATCAACATGGAGGAAACTCTCAGGAAGAGTCGGGCTGTTAGCTGAATCATTACATGTTCTAACCATGATTCACTGTGAACTCCTGGGATCCAATCAGAACRATCACTTCCTGTAAGGTGACCCAGAAAGGCGGGACTTACTCTGACTGCTCCCCATCATCTGGCAGGATGTTACGGGTGCACTGCAGCAGGTAGTTTCTGAGGAACAGACCCCTGAGGGGGTGCTGGACCCCCCGACACATCTCCACCAGGTCCTTCAGGATGTCCTTACGAGACTGAGGAAAGGAGCGGACGTAGACCACGCCCACGGTGATCAGCAGGTAGCTGCAGACACAGGTGGAGTTTCACCAACGAGGCTACAGCTCAGAGTCAAATCATATTTGTCAAACAGGAAACAATGTGTTAGAACAGATCCAACTTCTGATGTAGGTCAAAATCAAACAGGCGTACCACAAGGTTCAATGTTGGGCCCCTCATTATTTAGTTTATATTTCAGTTATTTACCAGCTGTGGATCAGCTATATGCAGATGATGCAATAATCTATCTACATGTGAAAAATAAAGAAATCACTGCAGAGAAACTGTTTGTCAGTGGCTAAAAAATTATAATCTTCATCTTAATGTTAATAAATTGTTTGTATTTTCTTTTTGAAGTGTAAAAATAAGGAACCAGATCCAGATTAAAGTGGATGGTCAAACATTACCATCAGCACAAGAGTATAAATACTTATCATAATGGATTCCCAAATTTAATTCAAGAAACATTTTAAAAAGTAGGAAATAAAATGCTGTTATGCATGTTATTGTAATTTTTTTATTTTTTTTCCTCAGCCTGCTCGGGGACTACAGATGAAACGAGCTTGTTTGGCTAAATGTGGCATATTTATGAGATGTATTCATGTTGATTAATATGCATCGACCTTTTATAAAATCTATTCAAATTCACAGAACAGCTGCATGAAGAACCGTTAAACACCATCTGTTTAACACACCAACTCAGGAGTGTGTGTGTGTGTGTGTGTGTGTGTGTGTGTGTGTGTGTGTGTTCGTACCAAGGTTATAATGGTTTCGAATTTTTCATTAGAATTTAGTTTTATTTTGTTGTGACTTTTTTCTTTTAATTAAAATGGTTTTAATTAGTTTTTACAGTGGATTTGATTGTTTTTGTTAGTTATCATTACATTTTTAATGGTTAGTTTTAGTTTCGTTTTTATTAGTTCTAGTATTAGTTATTTTATAGTTTGAATAAACATATTTATCAACACATCCTCCAGCTTGTGATGTTCCTGTGAGTTCACTAACCAGCAGATATCAGGTCACTGGTTAAATCAGTCCATTATAGCAACAACTTCATGAAATAAAAGTATAACTTAATTTTACCAAGTAAAAACTTTAGTGATTATTTCAGGACGATGACAACAGTTTGTCTCCAACCTGTTGTTTGTTTTTCATGGAGCTGCTGAGAGAAGCTAACGTGTCAGATAGTCACAGTTAGCATCTAGTGTGAGTTTGATTCATGCAGGTTTTACCTTCAGAAGTATTCMACCTGTTTTATCACCTGTTTCCACTACAAAACACTGGATTTGATTTTTCTTGCATCATATTTAAAGAAATCCCAAAGTGGACTTTGCGTATTTTTCCCAACTTGTGTCATCATGTAGCAGGTGCTGAGCAGCAGACTGTAAACAGGTGTTACAGAGCACAGCTGATGGGAAAATACTTTATAAAAAAATCTACACGTCTCAAAATAAACTGACAAACACTAAAACTGAGGATATTCTATCTATAATTTCAGTTAGTTTTAGTTAGTTTTGTAAAAAATTATACAGTTTGTTAGTTATAGCATTTTTTCATTTTATTACAGTTTTTATTTATTTTAATGAAATAAAATGTTTTTTTAATTTAAGTTTTGTTATTTAGTTAGTTTTAGTTAACTATAATCGTACACAGCTCTGAAGATGTAGACATTTTTAAATACACTTGTTTGTTTCTTTAAAAGACAAAACTAAATCAGGTCAAACTGATGGAGAGAGCTGACGCCTCAAACTGTCTTCAGCAGGTCAAAGGTCACCGTCAGCCTGTAAAGGTCTGACAGTTAGGAGCCATCGACCAGTGGACTGTCAGCCAGATTTACATTTCATTTACAAGAGCAGATGTTTGTGGTGAAGCTGGCACTCACAGTCGGGGTATGATGTTCCCAGCATACTGGACCAGCTCATACAGATCTGCCACCTTCCTTCCTTTAGCAAACTCATCCGTCAGGTAAACCTCCAGGTAGTGCAGCTCATCAGAGATGGCCATGTCTGACAGCAGCGTTAGGGAGCAGAACTGCAGCAGGAACCTGGTGCTTCAGATCAGCTGAACTCACCTTTGGTTGTTCTACACTCAGTGGCTGCTGAGCAGCAGCAGCAGCAGCAGCAGCAGCACAGGACTGAAGGATACAGAGCTCATAGTAACTCTTAGGAGAAAGCATGGAGGTCCTCAGCTCTCCCAGCATGTTAGAGGCGTGTTTTAAAGCATCCATCAACTTGTTCTTGTCCTGCAGACACAAACACAAAGTTCAGCTCCAAAGACAGGAATATGCCAGGATGTCTCAGCTGCWTACAGGAGGACGGCCTACTGTCCACAGGTGAGCTGCTGGTCCTGCCTCAAAACCATTAAAACTAACTCTTCAGAGTGTACCTTCCTGTAAAAACATCTTTTACTCACAAAAAGGACAATCTGACCATTTTCTGATGAGTTTAAAGAAACTTTCTTATACATTTTCATTTGAACAACTTTTCACCTTTGAGTTGTTTACATTTCATCATGTTTTTCTCTCTGCTCTGTTTCCTAAAACAGCTTTAAATGTTTCTGATGAAAACAAACCAACTGCTCACTTTCCTTTCTAATGAGGAGAGAAAAGAGCTGAACTGGTGTAGAGTCTGAAACAGAACAGCTTCACACATAAACAGACAAATCTAAAACAAGTATTACATTAATCTAAAATCATCCAACTTCAAAGACTTAAAACAGCAGCAAAACCTACAAATATAAGTATTTTTCTGCTGAAACAGGAAGTAAAAACATCAGAAACATAATGCAGTCAAGTCAATAAAAACTCACCAGACATCTCTTCATCTGGAAGGACTGAACTTTAACAGCCTGAACAGCTTCGTCCAGAAGCTTCTCCTGCTCATCCTGAGGGGACTGCTGGGTGGTCGGCTGCAGCACAAGACATCATGTTACATTTGAATCATTAATATTAATTTGTTTATTGATACAGCCTGGCCTGAGGCCTGCAGAACACTTAGACTGAGTCTGTGTGCACTGATAACCCTGTCACAGGTAACGCCCATGTTTGGACTAACCAGTGGTGGGCAGCACTAACCTAAAAATGAGCTGCACTAACCCTTAAGCACTAACTTTAATATGTACGTCCCCTAACTCTAAAGCACTAACTTTAACATGTACGTCCCCTAACTCTAAAGCACTAACTTTAATATGTACGTCCCCTAATTCTAAAGCACTAACTTTAATATGTACGTCCCCTAACTCTAAAGCACTAACTTTAACATGTACGTCCCCTAACTCTAAAGCACTAACTTTAATATGTACGTCCCGTAATTCTAAAGCACTAACTTTAATATGTACGTCCCCTAACTCTAAAGCACTAACTATAATATGTACGTCCCCTAATTGTAAAGCACTAACTTTAATATGTACGTCCCCTAATTGTAAAGCACTAA